AAAAATTTCATTTCTCAGATTTTAGATTTCATATTTCATCTTCCATTCACAATGTCAGACATGGAGGAGGTTTTGGAGAGTCAAGAGCGAGAAATAAGAGAAAGAAGGCGTAGACGAGCTGCAAGCAAAAGAGCGCAGAGAGATCTAGATCAGCAACTTGTCATGGCTGTGGCCATGCTTGATGAAGAAAACCAGAGCAGTCGTGGTTCACATGAAGGTCGTGCCCCAAATGTTGACAGACATAGGCATTCTCGGGATAAGAATCTTATGGAAGATTATTTTATCCCAACATCTCTGTACTCTGATGTTCATTTTCGAGGGAGGTATAGAATGCAACAACATTTGTTCAATAAAATCATGCATGATATTTGCAATTATGATGAATACTTTGTTCAAAAGAGAAATTGTGTTGGTGTTTTGGGACTGCTTCCCGAACAAAAGTTCACAACTGTTATACGAATGTTGGCGTATGATGCATCTATTGATCAAGTGCATGAGATTGCCCAGATGGGGAAGTCCACTGCCTTGGAGAGTTTGATTAGATTTTGTGATGCAGTCGAAACTCTGTACACCAGGGACTACCTGCGCCAACCCACGCCCAGGGACCTGCAACGACTTCTGCAGAAAGCCGAACGGAGAGGATTTCCAGGAATGATTGGTAGCATCGACTGCATGCACTAGCAATGGAAGAATTGCCCAACTGCTTGGCAGGGTGATGCAGCGGAACAATAACAAAATATATAATTTCAATCAAATTTAACTCCGTTGATTCTAAGAATGCCCGGAACTAAACTCTAATCTGTTAATTCTGAGAATACCCAGGAAAAGAGTAAAGATATAAGAGAAAAATCTCAATCTTCATTCAATAACAAACATCAATTCCCTTTCTTACAATTTCATGCATTATTTATAGATGTCTCTCAATCAAGATGAGATAACTCCTCATAACTCACAAAGATGAAAAGACTCTCCATAACTTTATTCATGAACCTAGATAACTCCCACATACGAAGAGACATTTATTTGATATAGGTTATTAAGACTTTCCTCATACACGAACGTGATCCCAATGGTCCATGTATGTATTTGCTAAACTCACTGCATCACAGGGTGAGTACGGAAATCGGAAAGGCCAAAAAAGCATCATCCTTGAAGCCGTTGCAGGTTTCGATACATGGGTTTGGCACGCCTTTTTCGGAGTTGCTGGATCTCAAAATGACTTGAACATCCTGGTTCAATCCCCGGTGTTCAATGATGTTTTGAGAGGAGAAGCCCCAAAAATCACATATGAAATCAATAATACCATCTACCAAACTGGGTATTATCTAGCTGACGGGATCTACCCGAGGTGGACAACATTCGTGAAATCACTTCCGCATCCCCAAACCCAGAAGCAAAAATTATTTGCTACATATCAAGAGGGTTATAGAAAGGATGTGGAGAGGTGCTTTGGTATCCTCCAAGCTCGGTGGGCTATCATTAGGGGTGCGGCACGTATGTATGATGAGGAGGTGTTGAGGAGCATAATGATGACATGCATCATCCTTCATAACATGATTGTGGAGGATGAGTATGATTATGAAGCTGAAGAGGTGTACGAACCCGATCCTATGAACACGGCCTTAACCCGAATTTATGAAAAACCAGTAGGGCCAAATGGAGGACCAGTGGAGCATGAACCGTTAGTTAGAGATGATCTTTTCATGAATTGTATGATTGATCGATATACGGAGATGCAATCTTCGTATATTCATGAACGCCGTCAAGTTGACTTAATGGAGCATTTATGGGCGATGAAAGGCAATGACGGTGAATGAAGTGAATTGAAGAACATTTTTAAGATTTAATGTTTATGTTTTATGTTTAGTTATGTTTGGTTTTTTTATGCTTTGGTTATGGTTCGTTTGTTTTTATATTTTTAATGCTTTGGTTGTGGTTAGTTTTTTTATGCATTGAATGTTTTGAAATAAAAAAGAATTTTATTTAATAGTTTCTTTGGTAACTCAAAGAAAACCAATACTACTAATAAAATAAAATACATGAATTCCAACTAATTTTGAAAACAAAACATTAAAATACAACGAAATGAAAAGGCAAGCAAACTAACTTAATGGTTTTCATCATTTAACCAATCCTTATTGCTAGGTCCATCATCACGAAAAAGTCTTCGTCTCATAATAGCCTTTCGCTCTAGCTTCCAATATTGTTTTGTTTCAGGAAACTTGTGGCTTGTATCCATGGCCATGGTTTCCCGATCCTTCTTTTCTTCGTTTTCTTTGCGTTGATACTCCCTTTCTTTGCATATATACTCCCTTTCTTTAGCAAATTCTATTGCCATTACCCTATCATCTTCTTGGACTTTCTTGTCTATTTCAATTCTCAAGGCGCTTTGCGTTGCAATTTCCTCCAAAAATTTAGAGGTATTACTCATAGAATTAATTCCTCGCTTTGCCTTCGCCGCCTTCCTCCCAGTAGGCCTCGACTCCTTTTCAATGGGTGAGTCTTCACTCATAGGGGATTCCATAGGCGAATCCCAAGCTTGTGAATCATGGAGTGGTGTCTCGTTTAACACCACCATTGGAGCCGTTGGAATAATGCTAAATCTCTTACAATGCTTCACCACCTCCCAACATTGGGTATGGTTGAAATTTTTTTTTCCCTTGTCCAGTAGCACCATACCACATTTGAGCTTGCACAATCTATATAAAAAAAATTGAATAAGCAAGGAACTTAAAAAAAATATTGGTAATGCAAAAAAGATAAACATATCAATGAAAATCCAAGAAATATTAACAAAATATAAAGAATGCAAGAAACATTCAAATAAATATTAGAAATACAAGAAATAAAATATATATATAAAAATTGCAAGAAACATTCAAATAAATATGGAAATACAAGAAATATTAACAAAATATACCAATTGCAAGAAACATTAAAATTAAAATTAATAGGACATTAAAATTAATAAAATGAAAATTACAAATAATTTACCTCATCGCTTAGATTTTCCCCACTTGCAGGGTTATTCATCGCTTTTGTGAGGGCATCTCTCCATTTCCCCAACTCTTTGTTGAAAAGTTTCCACCGACTTGACAATACGCTTTCCGTACGGGTGGAACCCGAGCTTTCAACAAATTCGTGAACAATTTTTTTCCACATTTGACTGAATTTCATCTCATTACCCGATATGGGATCATGACTAATGTGGACCCAACACTCACACAACAAGACATCTTCCATGATGCTCCGTGCCCCTCCAGTTTCTTGAGAAAAAGCCATAATGATAGAGAAAAATTAAACTTGAAAATGAAAACAATTTAAAGTAAAAAGTGAAGAAAATATTGAATATAAAGTGAATAATAGTTGGAGAAGGAGAAGATGTATGAGAATTTGTTGTTAAAACTGAAGAGTAGGTGTTGGTATTTATAGAAAAAAAGTCAGTATTTTTTGGGATTTTTAAAAAAAAATTTACGATTTTTTTTTTCATCATTTTTTGCCTTGAAAAATTCCAGGCCATTGGATTAGATGACAAGGCATAATCGGAAGGACGAGAGGAGGCCACGTCGCACATATCCGTTGGGCAAAAAGCTGACACGCAATTTTGAATTTTTTTTACCGTTGGCGCGCCTTCGGGCTAGCCCAGGTAAGTGGACCCCACACTGCCCGGGCTAGCCTTTGTTGCTGGAAGCTTGTTTTGGGCTCTCCCCCCCGCCCGAGCCCTAGGGGGCTGCTGGAAGTGCTCTTACAACCCCATAGTCGTCCCCCACCCACCCACCGCCTAAAACTCCACCTTCATTTCTTAGCACCCAAAGTCCCCAAAGCCAAAGTATGACCCATCGACCCAGAAGTTGAATTCATGTTTTTGTTTTCATAGAAAACAAGTTGTTCTCAACTTTTGTGCATAAGTTTGGATTCATTTTTAGAAGTCAATTTCTACGTTTTGCAAAAACATAGCATCGAAAGCATTTTCAGTGAAAAGCGGAAACGAAAAATAAAAATGGGGTCCCAAAAACGTAGCACCTTAAGTTTTGCTTCAAAACCTGCAAGGTTATTTTAGTTCTTGGTGGGATATCAATGAGGCTATAGCAATCCGAAGATGCCCATTGCCTGCCATGGTAGTCACCTAATATTTTTTTTTTTTGCTCATCTTTCATATCTCTTCACCTCACAATTTCTCAACACAACCTTAAACATTGAAAGGAGGCTTGAGAATCATCATATAGCATGCCTAATAATTTTCATAGTCAACATTGCATCTATCTTTCAATCTAGGGTTTAACGAAATAGATGAAGTATCTAAAAAAGTTGGGTTGATGGTCTTTAGGGATCGATTGAATCCGTTTGTCTTGCAAGGCCAAGAACATATAGGTTTAAAGCTCAAGAAGTCTAAAACCTTTTGATACATTTCGATGACAGGGAGTTTGGCTAGTGGGCTTTGTTGTTGAGGAAGGGAAGTTGATGGGCTTTATTTTTTCAAGTTTTTAATTTTATTTTCAAACATACAAAGTATGGTTAAATCCAGCTGCAAAAAACTTGAATACATGGCAAATTTTAAAACTAGTTCTTAGAAGTCATTTTACAATAGGGTAAATTTGTCTTTAAAATTTTGAAGATAAGGTAGGTGAGGAATGGTGCTGTTATTTCCACCCACTTGTACGAAACATCAACAATCCAATGAAGTATTAAGGGTGACATAAACCAGTACCTTGACTCAGGGCATTTTGAATAAAATTAAGGGCACCTCAAACCATTTGGCCGAATTACCATGTCATGGCCCGTCCAAAGATACTGAATGTGTCATGTCAAACATTACTTAACCCAGTCGTGCTCGGGAACCTCTAGTCACATCTTATTCAATAATAAGATCCATGTATGTAGACCTGAAAGCCTCAGCCAAAATATTATTCATCATAACTTTGTTGCGTATTGAATCCAATTCTTTTTTTAATGGAGAAATTTAGCCTCAACTTCCTGAAGTCTTATCTCATATTCGACATTTCAGCAATATCCTACTCTATCTCCTTGTGACAATTAACCCTTTTATTTGGTGTGCAAGTTATTTAGCTATTTATTTATTTTCAAGTCTATTATATTTTTTTACATTGCTAGTAGTGGCACGTTTGCCACTTACATCATCTAGAGCCTATTTCTAATGCTTGGATAATTTTAAGGTAAACACGACTCGAATTGTTTGACAGAGTCCAGACCAAGGCCCACAACATCACTGTCTTTGTTTTCATGGTCATCAACAATAGTAAGAGTTGGCATGCCGCATGAATACACTCCAAGAAGGACCACAACATCACTCTCTTTGTTTTCACGGTCATCAAAAATAGTGAGAGTTGGCGTGGCGCATGAATACACTCTAAGAAGGATGATTGTATTGCCATTCCCATTTACTCGGTTACATAATTAAATAAGGGCCGAAAGATTTGTGGAGCAAACTTCCTTGTACAGATATATTAATTTTTTAACATTTTGTTTCATTACTTCAAAATCTTTACACTCTAATTAGATGAATTTAATATATTATGTATTTTGCAAAAACAAAATCTTAAGAAAAGCCTAATTATGATCCTTGATGTAATCATTTAATATGAAAGAGAAAAAAAACACTCAAAAGTTGCAACTCAAAAGTGTCACAACTAGAGTGTCAAAAGAGTTGTGTTAGCCTAGCCCGTCTAGAGTCGGCCCATTTAATAAATTGCCCATTTAACAACTTGCTTGTAGAGATATATTAATTTAAAATATTATGTATTTTGCAAAACAAAATCTTTAGAAAAGTCTAATGATGATCCTTGATGTCAATGTAAACACGAAAATCTTGCGACAAATGAGACAAGAACACATCTGCAAAATAATATTTGCATTAATGAAATTTAGGGTTACAATCTTGGTATGAAATCCTCTTATTTGAGGCCTCCTATTTATAGGCTACTGCAGGATTCTTGACCTAAATGGCTTTCCTTCTTTAGGACTTTTGTTTGTAGGATTTTGATTTGATTTAAAATCAATTATGATAATTTGGCAATTTAACCAAATTATCTTCAATTAATTGACTTGATTAATATTTGATTTAAAGTAAAGTTAATCACACAGGATTCTGCCCTTTAATTTTGTCTTTAATTTGAATCGTTTGATGCACTCTGTCGGATGTCAAAACGTGTCACCTTTGACAACTAATTCAATTTTGACAAGTCGTATACCACGTGGGTGAATCATGGGGCCCGCAATTTAATCCAGCAAACCTTAATTATTTTCTTATTTAGCGGAATTTAATTTGCCAAAATTTCTTTATCTACAAATTGCCCCACTTCACGATGCACTGTAGATATGTGCTTGTCACTTGTGGGAGGTGTAGCTTGAAGTGTTACTCCTTTATTTATTTATTTATTTATTTTCAATAGTTTGGATTGCTTCCAATGCTTTGAAAATTACTTTATTTATTTATTTATTTTTATTTTGGCGATCATGGTGGGACAAATGAAGGAGTCCACGTTACATATTAAGATACCATTCATCCTTGTATCATACCAAGATAGTATCCATCCTTTGCTTAAGTAGATGCCCCAATCATGATGTTGTAGTGTAAGCAGTAGCTGTAGCTTAAGGAGGGGAAGATGCTCGAAGAACATAGACGTCCTATACCCTTGGGTTTGATCCATCTCTCCGACTTGATGATAACCTGCTCAAGCGCTTAGGCTTTACGTAATGGACGACGACTGAAGATTGCTTCTTGTGGCATTCCATCTTTATCAAGATCCCCAAGTTTGTACAAGTAAGCACTTCCCCTTGGTTGTTCTAGTTTCTTTTC